CTGCGGCGGGTGGCATCGGCTGGACCCCCAGACTGGGGGACTGGGCGCTGCTGCTGGGCCTCGTATAAGGAGAGACAGACAGATGTGCAGAACTCATGGAAGGAGCCTCCTGAGCCAGTCTGTGCCACAACTGAGTCCTTGGTGTTCCAGATCTCCCTAGAGATGGGAACAGGTTTGAATATCCGCTCAGGACCATCCTCCCATACCATCAGCTGCCACCTCTCCCTCTGCCCCCCCAACCCCCCGCCTAAACTGCTTTTTCACTCAGGTCTATTCTGCAGTTTCTTGCCAATAGTTTCCTTCTCGCCCAGCACTTCTGCCCTGATCCTTGACCCCCCACCACACACAACCCAGACCCTCACGCACTTCTTGCAAAAGGTACAGGTCTTCTTGCCCGAGGGCTTCTTGGAGAAAGTGGTGAGACAAGATGAAGAACAGAAGAGCTGAGGCAGCCCCTTGCGCTGATAGGCCGTCTGCCCCTTCTGCAGTGGTGTCCGGCAGTGTGCACAAGTCATCTTGGTACCCCCTGAAGAGCGCCCAGCCCTTTGTGCCACACTTGAGCGCAGGGACATACGAGGAGAACGCCGGGGCCGGAATGGCACAAAGTCCTCATCATTGGGGTCATCTACCATGGCATCAGAATCCTCATCTGACACTGGAACTGAGGAAGTGGGAGGGGCAGTGAGAAAAGTCACCAGACCAGAGCTCTAGCCATCCTGTGACCCACAGTCCAGGCCCGATCCAGGGATCCCTATTGTTCTGGCCTTTACACCCTCACCCCTATCACATTGGTATCTTAAGCCACTGGTATCTCTCCCTTGGTTACTCCATAATCTCCCAGGGAGGGGACCAGAGGGGCTCTAAGTGGGAAGATTTGGTGAGGAGGATGGCACGGCTGAAACAGGAAACTCTCCAATTCTCACCGCTCTTGTTTTCAGTTTCCCACACTGCCCCTGGTTCCCATGCCAACCCACAGTGGAGACAGGCACTTCACGCTCTGCATGGAGCAGGACTGCAGGAGCCAGAGGATCCATGCCCTGCCACATCTCATTTTCAGCTCTTCTCCACACCCAGAGTCCCCAGGTCACACTCCTCGACTCCTACTCACTGCTCTCAGTGGAATCCACAACCTCGGGTTTTGGAGGCTCTGCTCTCCTAACGCGCTCGCTTCTCTTCTGTACCTTGGAAACATGGGAAGGGGAGGAAAGCTGACACCAAGGGCAGACTAGCACTAGTACAGAGTTTGGGGGTGGGGGGAATGGGAGATGTGAGGGATAGGGAGAATAGGGACCCTTGGCCCAGCCAGCCCTTAGGAGGAGGGGAGAAAAGGAGGCTGAACTTTCTCCTTAATAAGCAGTAGACACAAGACCTCCCTCCCTCCTCCTAACTCTCCTTACACACTCCACAGAACAACATCTGGGAGGGAAAATGAAGGGTCTGTCCTTCCCAGAGCTATAGGGGAACCAGACTCCTTCCAATCCCCTCCCCCCCTCACCCTCTCAGGCGGCTTCTCACTCGCCTTTCCAGTCAGGCCATCTCCTGCAAAGGAAGCAGAAGGCAGCCTCAATGTTCAGCCTGCCCTCACCACCCCCTCCCCAGCCCAACCCCCCCATTCCTGGGGAAAAAATTACTCAAAACTGAAAGGGAAAACTCGAGTGCCTGTGGCTTTTTGGGGCGCCTCCCC